CCTTCAAGGTACCTTGGAGAGGTGAGGTGTCCAAGTCACAACATCCAACTACCGGGGTGCCTCATGGCTCAGTTCTTGGACCACTTCTCTTCTCTGTCTACATGGCATCACTAGGTTCTGTCATTCAGAAATGTAAGGTCCATGCGATTGGCCCACTGGAGGTATCCGATGGTGGATGAAGGTTTCCTGTTTGTTCGGTCTTTTCGGCACGCAAGGTTATTTAATTTAAGTTAAATTGTAATCTGACACCATTTTATTACGACCTCAAATTTAAGTTGAAATGCCAATTGGTTGTTTGTTCATTTCTAATTATTATTATTATTTTGACATTTGATTATTCTATTTCGCTCTTTAATCATATTGAATCTCATTAATCTTATTCCTATGACACTTTGAGTCTCGTACTGGCCGGCATACAGATCTCATATTCACAAACTCGTCAGTCTTGGTCATTAGAGAGAGGCGATTGACTAATATTCTAGATGGCTCGTGCAATACTTAGCTCATTCTAGAATACTTTTATTAGTCCCCATAGATCTGTAAACACTTAAAGTAAGACTATATCTAACCAGAGGTCATGACCATTACTATAAAACCAAGTTGACCAACTTAACTTCTTCTAAGTAACTTTATATATAATCATGCCGTGATTTCTCACGTACACTTAGTTAGAATAATTTTACAATAATCAGAGGTTGAGGCTGACCCGAAATTAGGTTGGTCAACAAAAACACTGTTGTTCTAAATAGAAAAAACCCAATACCTCTACAGTCTAAGTATACATAACTAATGCCAATGTGTTAGCCGGAGCTTTAAAACATTTTAGTCCGTTACTAACCTGAGCACAGATTTGCAGTGCTATAGACTTAACACAATTAATTAGAGTAAATGATCTCAGAGTAAGTCAGAATAAATTCAAATTTATTATCAGTCAGGTAAATATGTATTATGCCACAGACCAGAATACCAGAGACAACATTACTACAATACATCATATGTCATTCACCAGTGAGAAAACTTTATAGTACAGTTAGTAACAGTACTACAATACCAGAAAGGAAGATCAGGTTGTTGATGTTGATGTCTGCACAGCGTACGTGAACACGCTGATGATGTATCCGGTCTGCGCGAGCAGGGTGCGCAGAGGTATGCAGATACATATTTTTACAGGCAGGTAGAAAAGCCTCTCATAATGTTCGGACCGAACATTTTGATTGGATGAACATTTCTTGGTCCTACGCCTTCCACAGAATATATAAATACATACAAATACATTTAGACCACCTAACTTAATGATTGCTATCGGGATGTGAAGAGAATTTCAACCAGCATAACAAAAAATGTGTCTGAAGACAATCACCTATTGTACTCTTAATGAAATGAGAATGATTAATAACATTATAAAAATAAAAATAAAATGTTGTCAATTTAATCTTCTTAGTTTCATACATATTATATCCATATACAGTATTTTGTTCTAATGGCACAAATAATCTCAAGTTTAACAAGGTTTTACCTGATTCTTTGATTCTTTTGTTGTGTGGATATGGTGAAGTACTAAAAACACGTTTTTTTTTTTGTATGATTCAAATTAACCCACAACTTAAGTTTATACATAAATAAATTCATTCATTCATCAGCTCTAAGCGAGACGCCAAGTTTGCTACTTCTTCTCACTGCTGTTTCCTGATAGTTTTAGAGGGCAATTACACCGAGTTGACCAAGAATAATACAATGGCAAGTGCGACAAGTATAAACATCATTGAGACATGATTTCAGGCCCACCCAAAAAATCCTGAGCACAAAAATGGGGAAAAACTGTTTGTTAACAGTCTAACTCCACAATTCAGTAATGCATAGTTCACAGTCTTGGCAACATGTTTCAATAATACATTTCTAACATTTATAATGTGTTTATCACAAACAACAGCTCAATGAAAGGGTATTGTTTAAAAGGTTGAAGTAACAGTACACTGTGGTTGGTTGTTTTAGCAGGACAATGACCCAAAGCATTGTTCCAAATCTACTAAGAAAATCATGCACAAACACCGATACAGTGTTCCTGAATGGCCACCTGACATGAAGATCATCAAAAATCTGTGGAATGATAAGCAGGCTGTCTAAGCTTGGCAGCCATCAAAACCTGACTGAACTGGATACATTTTGCAAAGAAGAATGATCCAACATACCTGCAGCCAGAATCTAGTGGCTATATGAAACGTTTATAGGCTGTTATTTTAGCAAAAGGTGGCTCTCCAAAATATTGATGTGATTATCCATTGGTATGCCCAAATTTTTACACCTGTCTGTTTTTGTCATGATTCACATTGCATTGTTTCTTTTGAGTCAATAAATACTATTTCAGAACTTAAATGTTACTGTTTCCATAAGGTAAAAATTATATCCAAAATTAACTTCCTGCTTTGAAAGCCCAGCAGATTATAAATTGAAATTATGATAGTTTATCAGGGGTGGCAAAATTTTGCATAAAACAGTATTTTATGAGTAATTCATGCAGAAATCAAAATATATATTTTTTTCTTCTTGTCTTAAATTGCATCTGGGTTGGGGGGAGAAGAAAGATAAGATTGGGTTGGGTATGGAGGGTTGGGGTATAGAGGACAGACAGGGTAGGTATTTGCGGGTTCTAGGATTAGGGAGGGAGAGAAGAAAAGAGAGGGTTGGGTTTGGAGGACACTAGAGGTGTATGTTCTTGGCTTAAATTGCTTCTGGGTGGGGGGTGGGTGAGAAGAAAAGACAGGGTTGGAGGACAAGAGGGTTGGATTTTCTCTGCTTAAATTTCTTCTGGGTGGAGAGGAGAAAGAAGAAAAAAGAGTGTTGGGTTTGGAGGACACTGTGGGTGGATGTTCTCGGCTAAAACAGCTTCTGGTTAGGAGAGGGTGAAAAGAAAAGGGAGGGTTGGGTTCGGAGGACCCCAAGGGTGGATCTCCTTGGCTAAAATTGGTTGGCGGGGTTTGTTTCACCGGAAGGGGGGTGTAGATCAACTTGGCTAAACGTTTTTTCTGGAGTGAGGGTGGGGATGAGGCTCCCTCAGATGTGCACACCACTTGATGAGAATCTGATGGAGATTAACATAATTATTCATGACCTTCCATCTTTAATATAACACATAAACAGGGTTTATTATTACTTTATAATTATAAAGCTGGGTATTTTAAAATGTGTCTCTGAATGGGTCATCAAGAAAGCATCAATTCATTTGAAACCATAAATACCAATTTCATTTAGGGCTGCAGCAAATCTATGCTCAACTTTGTTTACAGAAATGGTATAAACGAATTATTCAACAGGTAACAAGTGTTTCATTTTATATGAATATAATAATGTATTACTTAAATTTATTATTGTGTGCTAAAGTCTAACCCTGTTACAGGTACTTGTTCATGATAAAATAACATTAGAAGTGTCAAATATGGTTTATGTAAAAAGTAATCCTAAATGTCTCGTCAATCCACATTTAATCAAAATTTATTGTTTAGTTAAAACTTATTGCACTAAGAGTGTGTACTTTAAAGTGACTAATGGATCCATCAATAATGGAGTTTTTCATTCAGTTTCACAGATGCAACTAATCCATTATGACAATTATGTAAGATTATTTTCAATTATATGCTGCAGCACATGTATTTTAAAATACACAATGAAAGCAATTCTGTAAGGGTTGTGGTTTTTACATCTGTTCCCTATTCTGTTAATGATCTCCACTTGTATTTAAGTGCCTAGTTCCCTCAGTTCTTTGTTTTGCACTAATGTTGTGTTGGATGATGTTGTTCCAGTTCTTTGTTTAATAAACATTAAGTATATTTCTTACTCTGCATCACACGTGTCTTTAGTTTGGATCAAACTACACTGCCATCCCTGACAAAATCAGGCTTGAACTGAATTACACCATTCATTTATTGAAAAACACTAAACCCTACTAGACTGGATATTAGAGTTGCGTGTGTGTGTGTTCTTTTTAACTCACACTGTAGGAATTCCTCATTGGTCTGATATTCAGGAGTCTGAATAACATGGATGGTTTTCACTACAAAACACATCTGCAGTTTATTTCTAACGTCAAGAGGAAATTTAAATTAAACAGCAACTATTTTTAAATGTATTGAAAATAAATTAGTATTTACCTTTTCCAGGTATCTTTTCTGTCTCCTCACTGCAGAACTGCAGCAGTTTGTCTCTGAGTTGAAAGACTGATTTCACTACATCATCAAAAGAGAGGTGAGAACTGACACTGTAGCTGTCTGTAGATCCAGAGAGAGAGAAAGAAGCAGACGGCAAACTCTACAGACACAAAGACAGAAACAGAAACTTCCTGTAAGCCAATACTTATTAAACTCATCAGTGTTTGAGAAGATCTGTGCTACCTGAAGGAAATTAACATGATCTTGTGTTTCTGAAAGCTGCTGCAGTTCATTGTCTTTCCTCCTCAGATCATTGATGTCCTTTTTAAGTTGATCCAGTTGTTTTTCAGCTCGACTCACTGCAGCTCTTTCCTGATCTCTGATCAGCTGTTTCACTTCAGAGCAACGCTTCTCAATGGAGCTGATGAGTTCAGTGAAGATCCTCTCACTGCCCTCTACTGCTATCTGTGCAGAGAGCTGATAAACACAATACAATTGTATCATTCACTAGTACTGGTACCTCAAACAGCAACAGTGGCTTCAGTGGGACTGAAAGAGCACCACTGGAGGAAATCTAAACTAAATCTCAAAATGTTCTTCTTCAAACTCACCTTATGAGACTCCACAGCCTCTCTCAGCTCCTGAAGATCTTTTTCTTTCTGCTGGATTATTTTCTGCAATCTTCTCTGTGTTTCCTCAAATTGTTTCTGCAGAAAACAGTTATATCACTAAATGAATGAATGTTTTTGTAAAGAAGTCTCTTCTGCTCACCAAAGGTGCGTTTATAAAAATCCGATAAAAAAAAAAGTTAAATAGAGAGTAGAGATAGCAGTAGAGAGAATAATATAATGTCTGTATAAATTTAGTACTGCACCTTAAAAGACAACTAATTAAATCTGTTTCCCTGATTGGGAGACAAATTACATAACAACTGAAAAGAGACCATCACTCATGAAATCCAGAAGTGAGCTGTAACTGTATACCTGTTTCTCTTTCCGTTCTGCTGTAGTTGATACCGTGTCATGATTTTTGTGTTCATCCACCAAACACAGCATACAGATACAGTGCTGGTCAGTACGGCAGTAAATTTCCAGCAGTTTATTATGTTGAGAGCAGACCACCTCTTGCATTCGTCCAGTGGCGTCCATCAGATTGTGAGTTTTACCTCTGAAGAGATTCTCATGCTGTTCAAGGTGATTTTGACAGTAAGAGCTTCGACACTCCAGACAGGATTTCACTGCTTTCCGTTTAATTTCTGTGCAGGAGTCACACTGAACATCTCCAGGTCCAGTGTGTTGAAGACGACGGCGAGCAGGAACAGGAGGTGGAACGGGAGCAGCTTGGAGTCTTGTCTTCAGTTTTTCCACCATTTCAGCAATCACCACATTCTTTCCTAAAACTGGTCTTGTACTGAAGGTCTGTCTGCACTGTGGACATCTGTAGATTCCATTCTGATCCTCCTGATCCAAGCACTCTGTGATGCAGTTCATACAGTAACTGTGTCCACAGGGAATCGTCACTGGCTCCTTCAGGAGATCCAGACACACTGAACAGCTGAACTGATCCTCAGCCCATGAGATACTGGCTTCTGCCATTTCACTGTATATGAACACAGAGACAGAGAGACGATACGCACTGCAGCTCGACAGCTGAGTCCCTTCTTCTATGAACTGGAGAGTTTAAATACATCCCTGATTGATTACATACTTACGAAACAGGTTTTTCTGTAGGGAGTGACTGACTGTAAATTCTTCAATGTTTTTATCGTTCACCAGCTGGAAAACAATCATCCTGAAAGTGATTCCAACGATATTGTTTCTCTGTGCCTTTATCGTTATAGCTGTGGTGTGGACTCTGCTATTCTTTAATATTGAGAACGATTTTTTAACTATATCTTTATCATTATCTTTATAGTTATCGTCCTTGGTGTGAGTGGGCCTAAAGCCATGCAATAATATAAATCATATTACAATCTAATATCATAACTAGGTAATTATGAAACTGCAGCAAACATGCAAGACTTGCAGTCCATTACATTGACTCATCATATACATGGAATATATTGACTATATCTATGCATAGTATCTCATACTGAAAGTCGTATACTGAATAGTACAAGCACTGAATGTTTAGGAAAGTTTGTGTTTAGGAATGTGGGTGGAAGAGATTTGAAAAGAAGGCAGAGAAGCTATGATCATAATGTTCCAGTAGAATGGAACCATGCATGTAATGTTCTTTTTTTACAGTGCCCTAAATTCTGGAAATATTTTAGCTATAGGTTTGTTTTTTGTTTTTGTTTTTTAAGTCTTTGTTAGATTGTTAGTAGATATCTGAAAATCAGCTTTATGACTTTAGTGAGGGAAAAAGCTAAATCCCATAAAGCATTGCGAAACCAACGCAACATTCTGGCATCTTGCCCATTTAGTCAACCTATTATAAGCGTTTTGGGCTTGTTCAGCAATTGGCTCATAAAGTGATTGAGTTTAAAGACTTATTAAATTGGGAAGGTGTGAGTTGTGATATTTTGTTTTGGTTTATATTGTTACGACCTCCTTGGTCTAGGGATTAGAATTATAATAAACCTTAACCCAAACTAGAAACTAACATTGTGGTTATGGAGTAAACTGAGGAAGCGTGCGGATCCATCTGCAGAGCTTTATTCATTAATATGGTCAGAAACAGGCATGGGTCGATACACAGCAAACAGTAATAGAATAGGCAAGACAAAGAGTAATCCAAAAGGCAAGCGTGGGTCTGCGACCAGCGAACAATATCCAGAGAGCTAGGCAAAAGGTAATCCAAAACACACAGATGAGAATCAAAACCGGAAATCAGGCAAGGCAAAACAAAACCGAGTTTGTGTAGTGTGAGAGTCAATGTAATTGGCAACATCTGGTGGCGAGCAGACGGAAAACCACGGACCGGATTAGTGACAATTGTAGAGCCCCTGCCCACTGTTTCAAATCAATTCAAACAGATCACAACTTGATTGAGCCAAAAAGAATAAAGGTTTATTACAAAAGAAATAACATAAGATTCCAAATAAATTACACAAGCGAGCACTAGAGGGAGCAAGGCCAAAATAACAAACAGAATCTAACCATTTTCACACAACTAAAACTATCTCCAAAATAACGTTGTCTAAACAAAATAACATTTCTAAACCTAACTCCTTAACTAACCAGAAAACCAGGAGAAAAAAAGATATACAAAACAACTGACACCCACCTCCCTACGTCTCCCGTATAAATGAACACATTAGGTAAAAGAAAGAAAAGTAAACTCCAACAATTACCATCCTCCTGCACACAGGGGGTACAGCTCCAAGATCAACTATATAAGTCTCCTTTGTGATTTCACAACCACAGAATAATACCTCACATGGTACACAGGTCTCAAGGAAAATTAATGAATAGTCTTAGAACAGTAGACAGGGACTCAACAAGAGAGCCGTCAAGTTGTTCTCAGAGTAACGTCTCTCCTGAACTGCAGAACTGGACAGCTTATATCTCCAAGCACCAGATCGCGAGGACGAATCAGTAGAAGAAGATTCTCATAGGCACTGATTATCAACAGGTGGCACTCGTTACTCATCCTAAGAGAGTGGGAACATGATAGCAACAACAGGCAGGCACACAGCAAGCACAATAATACTCACCAAGTCGTAACAATATTATCATCTTGTTCTTGTTTGCTTATTAGAAGACTAAAATATCTGATGTGTGTTAACATTTGTTCAGTTCAGTACACACCTTGTAGAATTGTTGTAAAAGCGGTTGTCACTACCTGCATTTTTCAGGTCATAAAATGCGATGGTCACTCCTCTACATTATCTGTGTGTATTTGTTTACTTATGATAATGCTTACACTTGCAGTTCATTATTTTGTGTTAAAATATGTGTTGGAAGCAGATATGCCCATCTAATCACTGTTATTCTTCTGGAAAACTTGTAAATATAATGTTTTGGTATTTTTGTCAATCATGTTACAGACACAAGACAAGCATTACTATATGCTATAGTTTATTCAGAACAATGTGATAGTTTTCACATACTGTATATAGTATGATCAGCATTTTAGTCCCTCTTTTCACTGGGATTGTTTCACATTTTGGATTTTTTTATTATTATTATTCTATATATACTGTATGAGATATATTAAATACAGCCTAATTGCACAGCATCTGCACATATCTAGCTTACTTGAACAAACCTGACAAATAATGGCGCGGTGGGCGCGGATTCAAAAAACAACTGCGAGCAGATTGACAAAATACAATAGATCCTGGATGACTGGATGCGGCGCGGCACGACAAATCCCCAACAGTAAACTGCTGCCTCGTTCTGCGAGCAGATTGACAAAATACAATAGATCCTGGATGACTGGATGCGGCGCGGCACGACAAATCCCCAACAGTAAACTGCTGCCTCGTTCTTTTTACGACATACTGACACAAAATTCAAGTGATTTGCAACGCCCACTTTGTCACATCCAGTGTAGACAGCCGCAAGCTGTTGGTTTGTTTTGAGATTATTATTTTTTTGGCTAGTAGAAGTTATGAATGGCCGGTAACTTAAAAATTGAGTAGCCAAATTAGCTGGTGAGTGAAAAAGTTAAATTCAAACCCTACTCATAACCTCTCGCTCACAAGCATTTGTCAATGAGAGTATCTCTTGTTGTTGCAGTCTCCGCTATTTTGTTGTTGTTGTTCCATCTCTTAAATTTCATTTTCTACTGTGAAACAAATTCAATGCGCATGTGCAACTTGTGCATACAGTAGGCGCGTACTATTCTGATGACAAAATTAGCATCATGCACACTTTAAGCTGACCCTCGCATACACGTAAAAAGTAAAGTATTCTTTGAGCTTACCCACGTGTCAAAACCTGTTAATCTGAAAAGTCACAGGGCTGACAGTAACAGGTTTGACGAATAGTCAAGTTCACAAAAGCACGTTGTACACTTTGAAGGGGTGTTACTTGTAGATATTGATTATATTAAATGTAATAAATAATTATTTAAATTTACTTTTTAAAAATGGTAACAGTGTTGACATTGATTTAACCTCCTAGAAGTGATGTCACTTGAATGTACCTTTATTTTGCAAGGGTTTTTTGATGAGGGTAACAGAAGTGACATGAAATCAAGGGACACCAATAAAATTATTTATATTTTAAAGAATAACATGTATACTTATGCCAAAAACATTGCTTAAAATGTGACTGTATTTACAACAATATGCAAATGTGATTTTTTGAATAACTTTGCCTTAATTTTGCACATTAAAATTACTGCTGAAAAAGAAAAATCATAGGGAGGGACAGGCCAAAAACCTTACCCTTATCAGCATAAATACTATTTAAATTATTTAAAATAATATTTAATTTACTTTAATTAGATTTAATATTGATAAAAGAATACATAGTATTGTTATTTTTATTTGTTGTTATATTAATTCTATGTTTGATTATTTCATAGGGATGCAAAAGGCACCAATTTTGCAGAATGACCCAAAAACCTCATAAAAGAGTTCCAAAAAAGAGCAAAACACAAGTCAGCTGTGAACTCACACGACTCACACGGTGTAACAATCGATGGAGTAGTCATGTCCTAATGGTTAGAGAGTCAGACTTGTAACCCAAAGGTTGCGGGTTTGAGTCTCAGTACCAGCAGGAGTTGTAGGTGGGAGGAGTGAATAACTGGTGCTCTCTTCCACCCTAAATACCATGACTGAGGTGTCCTTGAGCAAGGCACTAAACCTCCAATTACTCCCTGGGCTCTGGAGCAAATGACTGCCCACTGCTCCGGGTGTGTTCATTACTCACTGTTGTGTGTGTGCACGTGGCAAAAGTCACATTGTTTTTTTCAACCCACATTTTCTGCAACTTTTATTTCTGCAAGTGTTCAATTGACACATAAGTTTATTACACTTTTATGGACAAACAATTTCAAGGTATTTGTCGTGTATATAAGTGCTAAATGATCTTTGATTTGGAGGCGTGGAGTTTAACACTTTCTGCTTTCCATAGAGTCACCTGGTCTACAGTAAATTTAACGCAGTTCATATTCAACTTGATAAAAACTCACCTGCCTGTAGTAACCCTTAGACCTTTATTAGCTTGTTCAGGTGTATTTGAGTAGGGTTGGAGTAAAATTCTGCAGGACAGCGGCTCTCCAGAACCAACATTGGCCACCCCTATTCTAGAAAATTGATTCTGAACTGAATTTGTGCATGTTAGTGCAATTTGAGCAGTCATGTAATCACATAGAGATCATTAAATAAATAAATAAAATATGATTCTACATGTAATAAAAGTGTGCAGAAGGTGTTAAAGTAAACATAAAACATGTAATGGTTGTTGTTAGAGCACCAAAAAAATGTAAATAAAAATAAACAAACACTGTTTACATCAAGTGCTTGTCAGAGTGTACACAGTAGGCTATTACTTTAAATCATAATCCTATCATAAGAAAATGTACATTTTCAAGTAGGTCCCAAAGAGCTTAGAGGAAACAGTGAACTAAAAGCAATCTGAATATTGTTACTGATGGCAGAGTATGAGCTTTCGAAAATGGGACAATCCTGTTGGTTGAG